ACCAGCTGCCTGGAAAAAGCAGCTTGGCAGAGAAGGCCCTGGTGCACACCAGGCTGAGCCTGAGCAAAGGTGTCAGCAGGAGCACTGCCACCAGGTAGAGGGGGGTGATCCTTCCCCTCTGCTCAGCACTGGAGAGGCCACCCCTGGAGCTCTGGGTCCAGTGCTGGGCTCCCCAGTGTGAGAGAGACATGGGCACACTGGGCATGGCATGGACAGACAGTGACAGGATGAGGGGAAATGGCTTTACACTGAAGAGGAGAGATTTTAATTAGATTTTGGGAAGAAATTCCTCCCTGTGAGGGTGGGGAGGCCCTGGCCCAGGTTGCCCAGAGAAGCTGTGGCTGCCCCTGGATCCCTGGAAGTGTCCAAGGCCAGGTTGGACAGAGATGGGAGCAACCTGGGCTGGTGGAAGGTGTCCCTGCCCATGGCAGCGAGACTGGACAATCTTTAAAGTCCCTCCCAACCTAAACAAGTCTGTGGTTCTGTGATTTCCAAGTGGTGTGTTGGAAGAGAGGAGGGCACTGGCCAAAGGGACAGTTGCCCAGCACCATCTGCCCTGGCCCCTTGGTTTCCTGTCCATAAGCTGTTGCCATGTCACCAGCTAGACACAGAAGGTCCAGCTTCCCTTTCTAGTCACTGCAGAGAGAGCAGAGATGGACCTTTCTGGGGGATAACTCCTTGTACTCACCTTCACACCTATTCTGGGATGGGAGAACTCTTTTTGTGGCCATGCCTCCCTCCCTGAGCCTCTGCCCTGCCTTTAGCAGCTCGTGAGCCTGAGTCCTGCCAGCTGCCCCAGCAGTCTGAGGGTCCCCTCCTGGATCTGCTTCACCTTTATGCCATAAACGAGGGCGTTGAGCGTGGGAGGGACAGTCAGATACCAGTCAGCCACCAGGACTTGGACGTGAGGTGTCAGGTCAGAGGGGAACATCTGCAGGTACATGGGGAGGGCCAAGCTAGCTCTTTGTCCCCAGCTGCAGCTCCCTGGAGCAGTGACAGAAACATTGGGATTTTGGCTGCTGTTGGTGTGACTGCAAACCTGTGCCCACAGCAGGTCTCCAGCACCATGGA